GATAAGAGTCAATTTAGGATAGGATCACTCTGGATTCTAGAATCACTCCGTGCCTTGATCCAGGCATGATGTAAGGTCACCAAAAATAAAAATTGAGTAGACTAACCAACAGATCAAACGACACGGCACTAAAACGGGTATGAATCCTCAAATTCGATCTGAACAGGAATAAAGTATGGACAGTTTCAAAACTTATGGACAAAAGTACAAGGTCAGAGCCTCAGAGGGATTCGCGAAAGCTGCAACATCATAAATAAGACGACTTTATTCAAATGCAGCAACAATACTGAACATAGTATTTAAACCACGCAAACTGCACGCTAGCATCTTCAGCCATATCACTGTCAGGCTGCCTAGGTCATTACTTCCCCTTGACCACTGTCACCGGGCATGATGCGTTTGACAGCACGTAGTTTGTCACACTTCCCAGGAGAATCCTGAAGTAATTACCGGATTAGAGTCGTGAACAAAATGAAACAGACTATAACATTTAGGGCGATGCATATATTTTGCCTGAGTGCTTATAAGCATGTACTGTATAAGTTTGTATGAAAAAGGAACGTGGTAAATAATTTACATTCATGTTGAGCATCAGATATCACGAGTTTCAAATAAAACAAGCGTGGGGAGAACTGCACTCAAATCTGATTTACGACATCTAAATTATTAAGCAGTGTAAATTATTCGACAACGGGTACTATGTAACTGGAAAGCTAGAGTAACAGAAACTACACAGGCCCCCTTTCAGTCTAAAGTATATACAATCTGTAGCAAGGCAGGGCTGAACATTTTCTCCTGACCATAAAAAAATGAATTACTGATCATTATTGTAAGGAATTTTCTATCCATTTCTCAACTCAAATGATTCATTTCTTTGCGCAGAAAGCTGTTAGTCTGTTACACAAACGTCAAGAACTCAAAACATTGTGCTGAATTAAAAAAACTTCCTGAACCCTTATATATGTAGTTACCCACTAGTGATGGTATAAGTCCACGAACTCTCAAAATGCATTTCTGACACCCTAAAGTTGTTTAAGTGTGTCACTTAGGTCCACGAGCCTACGTGGCATCGCCAGCGTGGCGCTGACAGTTCACAAGGGCAGACGTGGCGGCACTCCTCGACGTCGCCTGGTCCCAGGACGCGCGCACCGCGCTCAGGAGGCTCGTCTACGGCCTAGGCAAGGGCGACAAGGAAGGCTTCTACGCTCGTCCTTAGCTCGATCACCGTCGTCATGACATACGCGGATCGAGTAATCTACGAATGCAACTTGCAACACATGCATGTGTCCGCGTGCGCGCGAACTCCATTGCTAGCTGCTGGCTCTCCATCCGATAGCACTAGCACAGGTGTAGGGCTGGGGTAGGAGACATGGGGAGGGAGGGGGCCACCTCATCGTGCGAGCGTCGATCTGTTGAGACGACCACGCCGGCCTCCGCCGGACCTCATCTGCACGCTCAAGGTCTCGAGATCACCACCCTCGGCTACCGCATCAAGAACGTGCTCGTCATCATCGCAGATGACAGCGTCGGCTACGAGGGGGCAGCGCCAGTCTTGGAGCGCACGACGTCGTCGGCTGCGGAGGAGTTGAGAGCGGCGGCATCATCAGGCGCCGCCGGGCTCAGAGCCTTTCGGCAATCCTAGAGAACAAGTCCATCTAAAAGCTAACATATATCCTCATCAATCAAATACTACGATTCGTTTTTCTACTTTCCCACGTGAGTCCAACTAGGAGTACCTCAACATCTCGGACAAGCGCTATGCTTACCGCGTCCGTGACCAGCTCCGCCGCGAGGTGCTGATGCTGCTGCGCAAGGCCCTCAAGCTCCCGGAGGTTTACATGTGTGCGTGCAAGTTTGAAGCCCTGCCGTACGCACGGGTGGCGTCCTTGGCAATGAACAAGTACAAGGTGTTCCAGAAGCACGACAAGCACCACGTGGCCGGCTTCTTCACCCATGTGTGCACCGGTTGCGCCAGGATGCTCGCCGATGCGGTGCTGCCGCACGACGAGGCTGCCGAGCTCCAGTGGCGTCGCATGGCTGCCTCTCTAGTCGCTGAGGGCGAGCACGTCTTCGCATCCCGTGTGCGCATCCAGAGCGCGGCGGCGTAGAAGCCTTCCCTATCGCCCTTGCCCAGGCCGCAGACAAGCCTGAGCGCGGTGCGCACGTCCTAGGACCAGGCGACGTCGAGGAGTGCCGCCACGTCTGCTCTTGTGAACTGTCAGCGCCACTCTGGCGATGCCATGTAGGCTCGTGGACCTAAGTGACACACTTAAACAACTTTAGGGTGCCAGAAATACATTTTGAAAGTTCGTGAACTTAGGTGACACCTCCATACAAGTTCAAGGACCTACCGTGCATTTAACTCTTTATATATATATATATATATATATATATATATATATATATATATATATATATATATATATATATAGTTTTTGGTGTTCTTGCCCCTTATTTTGAAGTGCAATTGTGATTTTGCTCTTCACTACTAGCAAGTCAATGCGATTTTGCTCCTGATCTTTGTGAATTTGCCCATGTTTTGACCATTGACTAGGGGCAAAATCGCATTGACTCGCTCGTAGTGAAGGATAAAATCACAAAGTTAGAAAAACGAGGATAAAATCACAATTGCACATCAAAGTAGGGGCAAGAACACAAGAGCCCCATATATGTGGGGAGTATATTCAGTAGCCAGCTAGAAAATAAGTTATTCCGTAGCCACCTCCATTTACGATAATTTTATATACTAATCTACGATTGTTGGGTTACTATAACACATGGAGATATTTACCATAACTTTACAGTAAACCACTTAGTATGGAGTTACTATAATCTCGTAAATTAACATAGTAATTATCGTAACTCAAAGTGGCTACAGAATATGTTATTTTGTAGTCAGCTACATGGTAGTAGTTATATGCGTTACTATATATATAGGGTAAGGCTATTCTGGAGCTGGCCATAGAATAACCTATTCTATAGCCACTTTGATTTACGATAATATTTATACCAATTTATGATAACATGAATATGCATTTACGATACTCGTGTTACTACAACTCACGGTGATATTTACGATAATGTTATAGTAAATCACTTAGTAAGAAGTTACTGTAATCTCGTAAATTAGCACGGTAATTATCGTAACTCAAAGTGACCATAGAATAAGTTATTCTATGGCCAGCTACAAAATAAATTATTCCATAGCCACCTCTATTTACGATAATTTTATATACTAATTTACGATAATATCAATACATATTTACGATAGTTGGGTTATTATAACACATGGAGATATTTACCATAACGTTACAGTAAACCACTTAGTATAGAGTTACTATAATCTCGTAAATTAACATAGTAATTATTGTAATTTAAAGTGGCTACAAAATAAGTTATTTTATAGCCAGCTATATGATAATAGTTCAGGAGAGTATATTCAGTAGCCAACTATAAAATAAATTATTCTGTAGCCATCTCCATTTACGATAATTTTATATACTACTTTACGATAATGTCAATACATATTTACGATAGTTAGGTTACTATAACACATGGGGATATTTATAGTAAGCCACTTAGTAAAGAGTTACTATAATCTCGTAAATTAACATAGTAATTATCGTAACTAAAAGTTGCTACATAATAAGTTATTTTATAGCCAGCTACAGGGTAATAGTTCTCTCTCTCGCTGTGTGTGTGTCTATATATATATATATATATATATATATATATGAACTCAGGGGCGGAGCTCTTCTATGGCAAGGTAATTTTCCAGAAAGTTTTACCCCCAAATACTCTGTACCATGGATATATTAAGGAAGATGTCTCAGCCGGCGTCCTGAGAAAGAAAAACAGTGACTATTACTACGTTCTCTTGGAGTCTTGGGCTATTGGCCTATTGTGGCTTTTGGAGTATATCACGTACATGCCACTGATCACGTATATGGGCCTTTTGGTTCATTGGCTGGCCTTATCCTTGGCCTGCTGGCTGTTGGAGCCTTCAGAGTCACCGAGAGTTTCCTTTCTGTAGGATGAATCCACGATTCAACTTACCGCAATACCGCTCGTCCGCAGTCCGCTCGACGGTTCGAGTCCCCACGGGCTGCGCCGCCGCTCAATCAGATCAGAATCAGGCGATCATCGCGAGCGCGACTGTGCTGCGCGAGCAACTCCACAGTCCGCTCGACGGTTCGTGTCCCCGCGGGCTGCGCCGCCGCTCAATCAGATCAGAATCGGGCGATCATCGCGAGCGCAACTGTGCTGCGCGAGCAACTCCACGTTTCCGCCTCCGCGAGTCCAGACCTGGCGTCGTCGACGAGCTACGCTGCTACTGCGTTTCCTTAGGGGCTTAGGGCAGACTCTGAAAGTTAGCGTCGGTGAGTTTCAGAGTTCCATATTTGTATACTGAGAAATCTTTGATATCTATGTTATCCATTTTCGCCACACCTTAATTTTTTCCGTCCTCCGCCACTGTATGAACTTAAGCGTTGAACAACACAGCCACGGCATTGGTCGACTGATTCTGTACGCATCTTTCAAATGCCCAAACTGATGTAGAACATTTAAATATCAAAGGCGGTTTCACATGGCTGCATAAAAAAACGACAATCATGATGATGTTGGGATGTCTCGAGTCTCAACTCTCGGACAGGCTAAGGACGACCTCTTGCGAGTAAAAAAAGGTCGCAACGCGCAAGGCAGAATGGCGTGGCTCATCACCGCTAAGAAATGTACTACTCACATTCACAGCTCAGAATCACCGGATGCAACGATACAAGGCACGAGACGATTTTTCAGATACTAAAGTATTACTGTCGTTGGAAGACATTCCAGCAAGACGTGACGAACGAGAAGTGCTGTGATTTAAGTACTGCGCCAACATATCGACTTGGCATGCGGCCTGTCCCTATCAATTGAGCGGTGCACGCCATAGACTACAGCCATTTATTCTAGATTTTGACGCGCTTATATCCCATTGAAAAGAAAAACGGAAGAAACTAGTTTAGGGGCTCAATGGTCAAGCAGGACAGCGTATTCCAGTTTTGACGAGGCAGCATTTGACATTTCAGTAGTGGTAGTAATGGCGGCTCAGGATTATACCTCTGGATCGGGCCGAGGCCGCGACTACCCATGACGAGGGAATCGATCTTGAGCTCCTCGACGGCGTCGCAGAGCTTCTCCCTGGCATCGCCCCAGTACAGCTTCGCCACCACCTTCAGCTGATGAGCAGGGAAATGGGCAAGGGTTAGTTAGTTTATCCCCCACTCACTTGATCAGATCAGAGCGTAGCACGAACGCCGGCCGCCGGCCGCCGGCCGCTGGCCCCCCACCTGCTTCTGGCGCGCCGCCGTGTCGATCATGTCGAGCACCTCGGCGTCAGGGCGCACGCCGTAGCCCTGCATCACCTCGGGCTCCCGGAACTCGGAGAGGGGGATCAGCGCTGCCGGGATCGAAATCGTAGCCCGCACGCGAGATCGAATCGAATCAGACGGAGCCAACGAACCGAGAAGATCGAGACGAATCGAAGCAGACACCGAGCGAGTGAGCATCTGGGTAATAATAAGGGTAGGGAACTAGGGATGCGAGAGCTCTCAGTGGTGCCTAGTGCTTACGGGATCCGGACTTGGCCCAGAGCGCCTGCTTGGTCTCCTCCCCGCCGTGGTGCAGGACGTGGAGGACGACGAGGGTGTCCCCGTGGTGGAGCAGGTTGTCGATGGCCCAGTCCAGCGCCTTCTTGGCGCTCTCCGAGTAGTCCATGGCCACCCCGATCCTGCGCTCCCCGTCTGCTGCCGCTGCGGCCATCGGAGCAGAAGAAACCTCTCGCCTGCTCTTGCTCTCTCTCTCCTAAACGCGGTGGGGTGGCAGGTAGCAGACAGAACTCTATCGCAAAGCGTTGCGGGTGCGGCGAGGCGAGCGAGGGAGAAGCATAAATGGAGCAGGTGGTGGGGTGGGTCCGCGTCGGCGTTTGGACCGAAGCAAGTGCAACGCGACTACGCGAGCGAGCGGGACACTCGGCACCTGGTCCGGACCCAGACAGGTCTCGCGGCACGGAGACGGGAAGCCCTCCCGGGGCAGGGGGCACGTTTCGCCGCGTGCACTCCAGCGTTTGCTGTTGCTGGGACGTGCGCGCGGAATCTTTGCACGGTGCCTCCGCGCGACGCGCTGAAGCAAGCGCACCTGACGGCTGTTCGTGGCCGCCGCAGGCCGGTCACCGACTCACCGCTACCGGGCACGGTAGGATGGGTTGGATCGGGTGAGCAAGAGCTGGATGCGTTGGATTGCAACTTGGAAGCAGGTGACGTCGTTAGTTTGAGAGATACCACGACGACCTCCGATCCACGCGGTTTGTTTCAGCGTCGTGGAAACGGTTGAGACTGGGGATTGCTTGCTTCGTCTTCCGGGACAGGAAAAGAGGCGGAAAGCGTCGCCGTATTTCGATCGGTTTTGCGTGAACGAAAGCATTTTGACGGGCCCGCAGGTTGCTGCGGAATGTTAGCCAAAGGGCTTCCGTGTAATCGAGGGTTCTCTTTTCTTCAGGAAGACAGACATCTCTCAAGTCTCATCATCATGGGATTGTTAATCGCGTCCCTCATGCAATAGGCTTGTCACAAATAAATTCTTTCCGTCTGCTGCTAGATGTAGCATTTTTTTTAGTAGCAACGAGGGATGATCATAAGCATATGAGCAACAATACCCACGTGCCAGAATAAAACAAAAAGTTGGGATAGCTACAGGACTGCACTGAATTTGGCGGCGCCGAATCGGACACCAAACTAAACGTGGCCTTAGCCAAAGGGCTTCCGTGTAATCGAGGGTTCTCTTTTCTTCAGGAAGACAGACATCTCTCAAGTCTCATCATCATGGGATTGTTAATCGCGTCCCTCATGCAATAGGCTTGTCACAAATAAATTCTTTTCCGTCTGCTGCTAGCAGTAGCATTTGGCATTTTTAGTAGCAACAAGGGATGATCATAGTCATATGAACATTGCCTACCCACGTGCAGAGGGGTGAGGCGTCAGTTGGGATAGCTACAGGACTGCACACAACCACATGGCCGGTCTGTTTGGCTTCAACTATATTATTTTAATCTTTTAAACCTAATTAGTTCATGATTTGACAATAAAGTGCTTTAATATAACCCATGTGCTAATGGCGATTAATTAGGCTTTAATAAATTGTGCATGCAAATCATCGACGGACGCCACGGGGTTGGGGACTTTGTTCAATTCCTCCCAAAAGTTTACTCCATATCCTATGAAATGTTTAATACATAGAGTATTAAATAAGGCCTCAAAAAATAGGCCATTCTCAAGATTGACATGTCAGCCTTTAAAAAGAAAACTCTATCTACTAACCTCCCTCAAGTTCTCAATAGAAAACAAATTTTAGGTTTTAGCTAACATATTACATGGCTAATGATAGATTTTTTGAAACTTAATAAATTCGTTACTCATTGGTTGGCTGATGAATTTTGTAATTTATTTTTACAGGAAACCGAAAATCAGCCAGCTCGACGCAGCCGTTCGGTAAGACTCCAAAATTTAGAGGACTGTAGACATTTTGAAACTAAACAAGATGACTAATTAGAAATTGTATTGGGGCCATTCTCAAGATTTGTTGATTCCGCCGGAATTTGAATTGAAAACTGCTATCTACTAACCTGAATTGGATTCTCGGCTGAAAACAAATTTTAGGTTTTAGCTAACATATTACATGGCACCGTGTTTTTTTTAAACTTAGTATACTCATTAGCAGCCGAACGGAACATATCGTTAGCAACAATTACATGTATGCAATAAGGTACGGAGTCTGAAACTATCTCCTCACCCTCGATGCACATATTACCCAACGTAGCCAACTCACACCCTCAATGCACATTTTACCCAACTTAGCCAACTCATGAGCGGCATCATTACATACTCTTCCCGTGAAAACACATTCGAAACTACTAAAATTTGCACTTGCCAGAGACTTGATCTCCTCAATCAGATGACCCATAACAGAGTCAGCATACGCCTCCGAACATATTGCTCGCACTACCTCCTGGGCGTCGGTCTCCAGAATTAGTCGGCTGATCCCCAGATTCACAGCTATTTGCACACCTACATGGCACCGTGTTAACCATGAGGGAGATAAATCGAACTAGTTTGTTCCAGACCACCTCCCAAAAGTAACCTGCTACAGTCCTACAGAACCGGTCACCCTGCCACCCTCCCGGTCACCCTCCCACACCCCCAGCTGTCCTGCGCTCCCGGTTAGCCTCCCCATCCCATCCCATCCCATCCCATCCCATCCGTCTCCTCATCCAATCCAAACGCCCCAGCCGTCCACCCAGACACGCCAGCCGCCCTCTAGAAACGTCTCCGACCTCCTGCAGCTGCCGCGCCCCGTCGCCTGCTCCGCTCGCCGCAGCAGGCATCCGTCGCCATACCTCGCGCCTCAGGTCTCAGGCGGGCCGATCCTAGGGGCCTATCTTTATATAGTCAGAGCAGAGCCGTTCTGCTTGAGTACTTCCTAGAATAGCTACAAGGTTTTTATGGCAGGCCGATCCTAGGGGCCTATCTTTATATAGTACATTTTCCTTATGTTTAATAAAATTGTTCCTGAGAAAGTAGGAATATGTACTTCCTAGAATAACTCCGCGAGTCTAATTTATGCCGCCCATATACCTTCAGATAACTCTTCCTTGCTCTCTACTGATTCTTCTGTACTACAGTACCTGTATGGCTATATCCCATGTTGTATTTCACCATAACGATTCTTCTATTTTCCCTTTATGCTTCTAATTATGGCATTATTGTTACATATAGATATGGTCTGCATATTTCAGTATGCTGGTGTCAATCTAAAAAAATGACATGCTGCTGTTACTTAAATAGGATATATGCTTCGTATTTCTCTATGCCATGTTAACCATCTAATTTGTGTTTTTTTAATGTCTGATAGTTTTGTCATCCTCAAACTCTATACACTCCCGACAGAGTTCCTTCATCAGAGTTCTTTGTAAGAGTTCTTATATGTCTAATAGTTTTCTGACCCCCAAATGTCTGACAGTTTTCTCTATTATTCCTGTTCTTTGTCAGAGTTCCTCAATCTAATTGGTGCCTAAACGTTGGTGAACCATTGGGACCAATACAATTCATATTGTGGCCTGATGTCTCTTACCATGTTTTCATCCCTATCATATCTTGCTTTGTTACAGAGATTGATCAGAGTTGTATGAAGGATGTCATCGACTACTGGTTTGCAACCGAAAGTGGACTATTTCGCCACATTCGTGCGCTGAGTTCTGCAAACCATCATATGTGCACTGAAAGTTCTGTACCAGTGATATTAAACTATAGGTACCTCTGTGTTCACCTCAGCCTGAGTAGAATATGCTCCAGTCATGTTCCACCCTCATTTTACTATTATAAGTTCTTACTTCTAAAGCAAATTATCTTCTTTTTGTGCCCCTCAATTGCTTACTTACACTGTGAATAACAGGCTCTTGGAATGTTTGTCAGCTGTGAAAGATATGCAACTGCCAAGATAACTAGCATCCCGCAGCGAAGCGCGGGGTACCATCTAGTGATCTCCTAAATCTGAAACTAAGCCAAAATATGTAACGGAGGATGCAAAGAAAGAAATCCTTGCAACCCTGCACAACCCACCGTGCAAACTAGTACAAACAACATTTCCTTAACATCAACGTCTCGCTTAACTATGAAGACATCCACAAAAAATTCTAGATAAAAAATAACTGCTTTCCGATTGCATATTGACAAGAGTATGTTTAACTTTGCATCTAACGATGATGTGTGTAGACGTACTCACCGGACAAGAGTATGTTTAACTTTGCATCTAGGGGACATCACCACGATGATTTTGTGTGTATTTGGTAAATGTACTCAATCATGGAGACTCAAAACGTTCATTCAGTAATTTCTCACCAAGCTGTGCAATTAGTTTTTTTCCGTTATATTTTTCATATTCCCAAACTGACATCTATTTTGGGGTTGAACCGAACATCGCTACGACATCTTGGCTGGCGACATCCATATTGACGCGACACCCTCTTCGTGTGTCATTGTTGACCCACGTATTGAGCGACACCTCGTGTGTCATTGTTGACCCAACGAGCGGCACAAATGCGCCCCCACATACAAGATCCGCTCGTACCTGAGGAAGGGCGATGCCACAAGCATGGCCCGTGTTACTGAGATCACTGTTTGGGCCACAGCCGACATGGAGCCCATGCCGTGGTGTGTTTAGAGAGAAAAAAACTAAAACTTGTTTCATATTTTTCTAAGTTAAAACAGATTTTAAAGGATGGATTCAAATTTTAGAATTTTTAACTACATATTTTTCTAGAAAATAAAAATTATTTCGAAATTATTTATTAAGTTTGATTTATCTTCCTTGTGGTTGACATGACACCTCATCAGTCAAAACCGTTTAGGGAAATAAATCGGACGATTTCAAAAGTTGAAGGAATCTAAAAATCCTATTTTTACTTGAATAGAAAAAATACTCTCTTTGTTCCAAGATAAGTTTCTCTTACATTTCAATGAGTTAAACAATATCAGCTTTGATCAAATATATACCAAAAATATTAATATTTGTGATACAAGATAAGCATCATTAGATTAATCACGTCATATATTTTCATAGTAGACCTATTTAAAGATATAAATGTTGATACTATTATTTTAGACCTAGTCAAAGTTGAAATTAGTTGAGTGGTTGAAATATAAGATGGAGACTTAGTTTGGAATGGAGGGTGTAACTGCTAAGTTGAGAGAAGTTAGTTGGACTTTTCT